GACGATTTCCTTGAATCCGAAGGGCCGACCCAGTTTTTTTTTTCAATTTCTGTTGTAAACTTAAATTTGAAGACCCGGTAAAGATGATGATGATATGGATAGGAAGCAGAGTAGGTAGAGAGAAAGAGAGTGAGATGGTTGAACGTTTCGGTTGGACAGGATGCGGTTTTGTTATTGGAACGACGAATAGCGGGGCAACGCTTCGGAATTGGAAGCGTCGGCTTCAGACGAGTCGCCCCGTTTTTTATGGCGTCGGCCGGCGTCTGGGCATGCCGTCATGTGGCCGAGCTAAATTTGCATCGCGACGTCTATTTCCGACACAAACGCCAAATGACACACACACAAACGCGTGCGCGCATATATATACGTGTACATACACAGACGCGGGCCTCCGATCAGACGCCGATTTGCGTCACGGCCATACACACACAGTAATACATAACCAAACCGAAACCTATGACCAACATAATCTTCCAGATCCTTAGTAAAGCAACGCGTTTGGAAATTCACCAGGAAAACGTTGCACATTTCCCGCGGCTGGAAAAGCCCGATGTGCAAAAAACTAGATTTCCTCAAGGTTATCAGATTCTAAATAGCGGATCTTACACTGCCAACAATTACAAACGAGAGAGTGAACCATTTTTTAAAACAACACTTCTTCAAGAGAAGAAATATTAGGAAACTAGTAATCATCATAGATAAAATATTTCGATCCTTGCTCGCATTTTCATCTTTTTGGACTATTCTTCTCTTTTAAATGCTCTTCGCGGAGGACGATACATTTGCTCACTTCGCTCGTAAACATGTTTGCATCACAAGATTGAAAACTTCCCGGCCGTCATCATTGTTGAACGCAATAAATTCAAGTAAATAATGACGGAAAGACGTCATCTTCGACGACTCAAATTTGAATAAATAACATTTTAGCACTTGGCCACGCAACTGTCTGGTCGAAATCCTGAACTATTTTTAAACAAAACCAGTTTCAAATAGAAGTTAACTACATTCTAACAACGGAAGAAGCAAATTTGAAAATAAAATTTTGTTGTCTGTGGTGAAGTTTCACTACATTTATAATTAAATTTCCCCTATCTGATGTTATTTCGAAAATATTTGTTTCTATTAAACATAAATGTGTAAAATTTCAAAATATTTTATTAGTCTGAATATCGTCAAACACTTTAAAAAGTCATTGAGTAATAATGTGAAAGGGCTCACACAACAGGTCAAATCAATAACTCATTCATAAATTTCCATCCGCGTTACTATGCGATAAAATATATTTATTTGTTTTCATGCGATTTCAGCAAATTCCAGAAATCATTTCGTTATCAATGAATCATCGACATTGTATACAAAACTTTGGAAATGCAAGAGTTGTTTTGCGAAAGAAGAGAATCGATCTGCTGCTATTTTGTTTGGAGAGCATTAATTGATAAATGGTATCTGCTGCATTGAGTAATGACAAACAATGATGTAACGGCCATAAAAAAATCAATTGCAACAAAGCTGAATTGACGTAGTTTCCATCTGTGGAACTCCATTCATTTGAATGTCCACGATGTCATAAGTGCCCTCTATTGGAAACTACTTGAACTTAACAGTAAGATTTAATTTTTGACATCATAATTATTTCATTATTGGTGATTCATTAATATATGTATTATATAACATAAATTATAGAATGAAGTACAGAAAATATGTTTATATAAAATCATTAAAGATCATACAATATTAACAATTAAATTGTTCATATTTGCAACGATCTAATTACGTCTAAATTTCCAAACAACATCATCAATTGAAATCGAAGCAAAAAAAAAGAAACATTTTAATGCGAACTTAATGTACCTGCGCAATTTAAATACGCTATTATACTTGATTTGTATTCATTACGTGATTCACCATTGAAAAAGAATGCAATTATAACAGAAGACGTGAGGCGTCACCGGTGACAAATGGTCGATGAATGAATTGAACTGCCATTTCTTTTACGTCATTCTCGCAATCATAGAATTAAATTAATTTGCTATGTGTGTTACATAATTAGTGAGAGAAGAGTGAAAAAAAAAATCCCGCGTTTCGTTGAATTCGAGATGACCAACAGTATTTTATAACGCTCGATGTATCGTTGACAACCAGATTCCTTTTTTTTGTTAAGATTTTATAAGATCTCAAACAAAAAATGGAAGCGGTTTACCTTTTGCCTTGATTTCCTTAATTGGGAATTAATTAATCATTGTTCTTCTGTCCATCTGTTGAAGGTGTGGTTATTTAAATGAAGATTAAAAAAAATTGTATAGGAATAAATTACTTTTTTTTCAATCTGGGTGGTTTGTAAAATTATTTAATATGTTGTAGGACTTGGAAAGTTAAAAATATTGTTATTCTGTAAATAAATGTAGACAAGAAATAGAAATGATCAAATTGTTTGTGAATATGGTAAAATTGCATTTATAAATATGTTGATGTTTATTGAAAATATGATGTGTTTTTCATGAAATCTAGGCAGTTTCTATAATTAATTTCGTAGTCATTAAATGCACTCTTCCATTTCGTAAATAAATAACATGAAATGCCGTATCAAACATCCGGCTTTCTCCTCCAGCACAGATCGATACGTTCGCTCACAAAAAGAAATGGTCTTGGCACTGATAAAAAACGTATGTGTTAATTTTAAACGCCATAGATTATTAATTGATTTTAATTGGATTGCAGCAATGTTTTACGCGTCAATCATAATTTGCTCTTCGACGAATCGAACGTCAATAAATGATATGAGACGAGGAGTTATCAAGAATCCTGATCATTTCCTATTATTAGATTACATCATTAATTCGTTTATATGCAGACAAAGCAGATGCAAAATATTAGTATAGTAACGAGATCTTTGTATCCTTTATTATCCCTGCGTATTAAAACATGTAAACAAATATTATATGGTCGACGTCAATGAGGGATCGAGAATTGTAATAACCAAATATAATACGTAGGTCTTGACCTTTGTCGCGCTACTGGCGCCATTTTCAAACAATACCACCGAAATAGCTGCCGCGATCAAAATAAACTTATCGGACGATAAATTTAATTAGACCTGTAATACAAACATCGTCAATTGCACAATACGTTTCGTGAAGGATATCAAGCAAATATATGAAACATTTGGAGCAAATAGAACCATTAAAAAATAAATTATTGTATTTAATTTCCCAATATTGAGATACAATTAGTCGTTTCTCAATGAATATTCATCAACTCTTCAGACTTCATTAGAAAACAATTGAGTTTTCTCATGTGGTAAGAAAATTTTAATAAATCTGATTGAAGTCATTAGTTTTTGTAATATAATAATAGAAGGTAACATTAGAATATGAAAGTTAATATAAATTTCAGTATTTATAATACAGTTACAAGTTATGCAAACAAAAACTGTAAGTAGTGGCAGTAAAACCTTTTATTGGCACTTAAAATCTATTTGCATATATTGCAGATAATGTCAACAGACACGCTGCAAATAAAGTACAAGAATGTAAAGAAATAATAACTTCAAAAGTAAAGTAAATTATTACACATTTGTACGATTGAAATGTTAAATTTGAAGTAGATCCAATTATTACTTATTATATATTTGCAACTATAATAATGAATATAAATGCATATTATATGCACGAATTAAGTAGATAATTACAAAAACAAAAAAACAAATAAAGAAGAATTAATGGCAATGTTAAATTTTAATATTTGCAGATATTAATGAATGATATTTGATAAAAAAAAATGTATAATAATGTGGAATTACAAGTTTATGCTGGCTTTCAATGAAGTTTTTAAACTGTGATGAAAACATCGAAACAATTAAACGATCCCAGTTCAAATGCTGAAGAGGAAATTAGGAGTTTATCTAATATATAAAAAGAGAAATTAGAGTCACATATAAATGAAGTAGCACTTAACTTATTGGATAACTGCCTCACAAAACGACTGAAGCGCTCAGACCATTAAATTTACAAAATCGTTTATAGAAAAGATGCCACAGGTTAGTAAATTCCATTCATTGATAATGGCCAATTAATTTATAGAATGTTGTTTCATAATAGATTTTACAAAATGCATACAATGAATTTAATTTATATAAATATTTTATAACAAAAGACTATTTCAATAAAATATAGCAAGATTAGCATTAATTATATTAAGTAATAATTGTCTTTCATAATTAAATAATAATTATTTGATTACAAAAAGCACATCAATTTTAGAAATAAATAACTAATAATTAATTTAACATATTTGTCACAAAGTAATAAATAACTACAAACATAGTTGAAATTAATATGCAATTAATTTTGGATATATAATTTTGAGTTATTTTCTTTAATTAAGATGTTCGAACTTTAGCGATTTAGTAAAAATGCTCTTGAAAGATCAATTTTTGAACATTATTAAACTAATTAATTGAAATTAATGATTGTAACTAAAATAAGAAGACTGTAAATATTTTGTAAAAAGTTTTTTTGCAATAAGAAAGATGAGTTGTGTTGGAGATGCTACGATTCGTAAGACTGTAACAACGGATGCTAAGCAACACGCCGCGTAAAATGGCAAACAAAATCAAGATGGCGGCTCTCCTCTCACGTTTCGTGAATGCCGAACGAAAAGCACGCAAAACTCCTAAAAAAAACTTCGCACCTTATGCAAACACACACGATCTTTTTCCATTTCAACCTCGAAAACAAACAAAAAAAAATAACCTACTACCCTTTACACAGTTTCGATCATAAAACAAATACGCAATACGAACCGCGCGTTACGTAATACCTCGCATAAGCAATGGATTTTTTGCTTTATTTATTATTTTTTTTCGATTGATATCACGCAAAAATTAATACCATTTATTAATGGAACGGAAAAAATGCGCCACTCGAAATGGAAACAAAATAATAACAAACAAAAAAAAAATGTACATTTCCATGCAATCAGATAAACGGAAAATTTCCTACCTGGTGTATACATTTTCTGATTCGGCATATTTCTTGACGTGCTCCAATGGTGGCGTATTATCCGCGACGTCACCCGCTGATGGATCACCTTGTTCGTACACTCCTGTAATAAAAAAAAAAGAAGAAGTTATATAACTTTTGTTTTCATTCCAATAATCCACAAGACAAGAAAGTTCAAAGAGAAGGAGAAAAAAGTGTATCTTAAAATCAATATTGAAGGTGGAAGCAGATAAGGTTTCGTAATGTAAATGGATGATGCTTCGTGGATTCGTATTCATAACGGATCGAAATGCGAATCATTAGTTACCATTATCATTAGTGCATTTATTAGTCGCATGCGAATGCACAATTTATAGTAGATTAAATTTAGTTTAATATCGCCGCTTCTGTTTGCCCATTTATTATTAAATGCAGTACTTAATAAAAAAAAAGCGCATTTAGTAAACAAAAGCATTTCCTCCTAATACTTGTTTACATGTAAAAAATAAAGAAACACATACATTTCATAAAAGAAGTTTTTATTTTATTTTTGAATGAAATAATTGCGTTTTCCCGTCTACGTTATTAGAGTGCGTGAATGTGGTTGTGGGTATTGGATGTGTCACTAGGTTTAAAAATAAAGTATTTTCCGTTTGGTGCACGAAACCTAATCTCCTTTCTTTGGGATGATATTGTTTTGGCATCACCATCGAATGTGTTTCACTAAATATTTCGTATGAATATGTGTGTGAGTGTTTGTCTAGAATAATTCTAGAGTTGCCAACTAGAGTGCTTCTAAATTTAATTTGAAAAAGAAAAAAAAAACGCGTTTTGTTGTTGTACCAAGCGAATTACATAATTTACGTACATTTCAAAACATAAGATATGCAGTCACCTAATTCACTATACATTATTTCTTTTAAAAGCTCCAATTTCAATCTATTTACACCTAACCAAAATAATCTTGCATAATTTTATAATTTATAAATTCATATGAGTTATTTAACTGAAAAACTACATTAATTCATAAAATCATTTATTAAATATTTCAGAAATTAAAAAAAAATATATATATAAAGATAAATTTGTTCTTACTACTGTTAATGAGAATTATTTTAGAAGAAAATTTTAATTAATACTAAAACTTTGGCTGATTGATTCCGTTAAAATCAAACATTTTTAACTAAATTTTCGCTATTTTTTCTAATTAAATATTGAGATTATTTTCAATATACAAACAAATTAAGAGACAGGAAATCAATAATTTTATGATCTCAATACTTCAATTTTCTTATTAACACTAAAGTCAGGTCGAATGCACAAATACCTAAATATAACGAAAACACCTTTCATTTTGATGTAATTAAAAACGTATAAAAACGATTATAAAGAGTGTACGTATTTTTTTTTATTAAAATTATGTTGACATGAAAGCCATTTCCTTATTAATTATAAAATTACACGTACGAAAATGAAATTCATTAAAATATTAAATTGATTTTTTTTTGGGCCTTTGTAGCGAAATTGTGCGTTCATCATATTTACCACAGGAAATTAATCGGATCGACGTCGCTGATAGCGCAAACTGCATTTCCATGCATTTAATAGCATTAAAAAAACATGTCCAAAAAATTAAATTAAAAAGTACCTTACAATTATAACTTATAAGTATATAAATATAAAAATAATATTATTACATTTTTACTGATAGTGTGTACTTAAGTTGAAATGTGTATTGTTTACCCTAATTAATAAATTCATTATAATCATTATTTTGTAAACCTCATTATAAATAAAAGCAATTTATTAGTTCAAAATTGAAATTTCTTTAGTGTTTTCTATCGATATATAGCAATAACTCGCATAATGCGGCTTCGATCAGTGCGGATTCATTATAGTGCGGTTTGAAAATTTGAAAACAAAGTAAAATTTACAGATCTTTCTGTATTTAAAAATAGATTCTAACATATTTTTAAGTCTCATTTTGTGCAGTTTTAAAGTCAGTACGGTCAAAGAGATATTGGAGAACCGATTACCGGCACTATTGGAGGTATTGCTGGAATAAGAATAAGTATAAAAATGAATTTTATAAGATGGTAATATTGTTAGTTTCTCAAAAGGTTTTAAAATATATTTAAAAGATTTTACGTTTAATATTGATATATAAAATATTTCATTTTAAAAGATAAAGTCAAATATATGAGAACATCCAGGTGTATTAGAAGATTATCCTTGAAAGCCGAAAACTAAGCGAAGAATGAACATCTTAAAGTTAAGTTCAGCAAAGTGTTCTCACTCACAAGAAACAAGTTCGAAAAATAAGCTCTAAAGTCATCACATAAATGTTTAAGCTATACATTTATTCGATCCACCAACATAATTTCTATTTATATAATATAACAATGTAAAATACACTTATTTTATAATAATATGAATCGGTAATTGCATAATGGAATATTAATAAAGCGTTAATTAAATAACGCAATATGATTGCTCTGCTATTATATTTCAATTAATTGGATCATTGGTTCATGTGTTTCGTTTAATTGGACGTATTTGAATAATTATTATATATTTTACGTATTTATTTATGTGTATACCATAAATATAATTAGTTAATATAGGAAAATGTTACCATTTTGTTGTTGATACTGGAGGAATTTATAAATATTATACTTTCACATAATACTGAAATAATAGCTGTAGGGAAATGTTAATACACTATAAATGTAATACATATTTGTACATGAATGTACGAATGTCTTGCTTTTTTTGGGTGATGAAATTACAACATTCTATTAGGTACCAAATGGTTGTCCTCGGTCAGCGCTGCTTATAATGTTATGATTAATCGACGATAAATAAGAAGTTGCAAATTGAATATTTAATTAGAATTAATTGAGTTGCAAAACACATATTTGTACATGGCTAATGAAATGTGTAAAACGTTCTGAGAAGTAAAAAAACGAAAGTAAATGAGAAATGTGCGAATAGTTTGTGTAAAAGTAAAATGAAGTATTTGAATGATATCATCTTTAAGGTAAATCATGAAAGTAGTAAACTGTAATAATTTGGTATCGAAAGTGAATAATAAAATTGAAATACGGACACTCTTAGAAAATTGATAATTTAATAATTGAATGTAGTGTTAAGATCATAAATAACAATCGAATCTATTTAAGCAAAATATGTGCTTCTAGTTTATAGAAGAGTAAAATAAGGCATTTGAATCATTAATGCAATGTATTATTAGGTAAATTGAATGAAAACGCGTGAAGCTAATATTTAAGTCTAGATAAATCATGAAAATACATCAAAGCTTTACTGTTATACGGTATAATTCGCGGCCAATACTTGATTATAGTAGTAACTGGAATTTATGAACACTTGCCACGTGGGAGTTCATTTCAATGGAAATACATGCAATTGAATTTGGAGATATTGCAATTTGCTTTATTTCTTACAATATTATTAGCACAATCCATTAGATTTGAACGCATTCAGCAAATTGCTTGAATTTACTACCATGTGGTAACATATCTTACTGTTATGTGCTAAAATCGAAATTGTTAATAGAATGCTTTGAATTTGTGCTGTTAGAATATTCTCTTATAAAATAACCACCAATACGTTAATAAAACAATCAAAATTATCTTTATAAATTCATTGAAAAGTAATTGGAGAATTTATGAAAATTTAAGTATTGAAGAATCACTTACAAATGAATGAAATATTATTGTATCAGTCAATAAAATTAATTGTATAACAACATACAAAAGGGCTATTGACCGCAGTCTTTCCGCAATAGAATATAATATTTAATGAGATCTTTAAATCTATATTATTTTCAGATAACAAGAAATAATGTATAAAGTGATTTCATTTGAATTTTATACTTTTAGTAAATAAATAATAATTGGAACTTTATTAGTCGAAAAACTTTACAAATACTCAAGATAATTACATACAATCATGAAAGAAAATATGTCATTAGCTAAATAATGTATTCATTGTTTATAAATAATAGAATAATAATAATTTATCGCATACATGAAAACATATATACAATGAGCTATTGACCGTAGTCTTTCCGCCCTTAATTATAGTTTGTAAATAATATAGGACGTTAAATAGAAGAATACTCTTACGAACGGGGTAAACGGTGAATGCGAATGGAAACCGCCCTCGAGTCTTTGATTTATGTCCCACATGTGAAACATGCACGAAAAAGGGGCGGGTCGCGAATCGCTAATGATTGGTGCATGCGAAGGGTTGAAAGGTAAAGAATCCGCGAGACCGAGCCGAGAGAGAAGAGGATCATAAGCAAGCAAGCAAGCAAGGGGGTGCATGCACGACACAAAACACACCATCCATATAGGTGGATCAATGCCGGAGTCGTAGTAGGTCTCCGTCATTCAAACGCGCCATTCACACCACGCCCGCCGGTCGCGCCAGATTCGTCACCACCTACAACTTGCACTCTAAGCTCCTTCAATCATTAGTATAATGAGTAGTACTATACTACATACAACCGCACTGGTTACTCCATCATTCAGAAGCATTTTTACAACCACCTACAACGGCGACGATCCACGCCGCCAGCGCAACAGCAACAAAAAATAAAAGAAGACGAAGAGGAGAACAGGAGGAAGTAGGAAAACAAACGGAACGCGCTAGTAGCGTGCGAATAATAAATTCCGCAGGATCGCGATTATACAAAAACCGCAAAAGTGAAGAATGAAACGAATACCTAAGTTGCTTGCTTACTTCACTACGACTACATTCATGCGGCACACGCACCCGCCGGCACCTCTCCACCCTCATCTCCCGGCATCGAAAGTTCAATATACCCGCCACCGCCACCCGAAATAATTACTAGGCTCGAACAATATGCAGCTGCAGCCGAAGAGCAAGATTACCAATTAAGATGCAAATTAGATCAGAACTCCACGACGCAGGGGGGTTTGGTGGTTGGAAAATTGAAATAGTTTAATCCGCGGATGCACTGTCGGGATGTAAGGAGACGAGTAAGAAGACGCAAATCGATACTTACAGGAGGAGGTCGACCTATCGCAGGGTGCTGGGTACACCCAAATCTCCAAACATACAAAAAAAAAACAAAACAATCCCACGCACGTCGTTCATCCATGCAAGATTCAAAGAATAAACTATTAAACGCGATTGGCATAATTCCGTTGCGTCTGTGAATTGGGGGCAGTTTTTATTATTCACCTAATTTCGTGTAGGGTTTCCGTAGAAAGCATGGTGTGTGCGTGGGCGGAGGGTGGTCGGCTTAAAGCTGCATGGTGGTGGGTGTTTTGTTTGGTTTCGCCTTTTAGGTTTTATTACTTTTGTTGAAGGAAATATTGTCTAATTACCGTGTTAGGGGCGCGACCGAACCTCGCCGACACTCCTCGGACTTGGACTCTGGAAGTTCCCTGATTCTCGCCGGAAGTTGGGGCTCGGACGTCGCGACGCCGCGTTTTTTTTCTCTTTCTTTTCCTTTCTTTCTTCTCATTTCCTTTTCCCTCTTTATTTGTTTCTCTCATTTTTTCCATATTACGATTACCGGTCGTGCGACGCACTGTTGTTATGCGAGTATTGGCGGTGCGACGCGGCGGTTCCGGACTTTGGGGATAGTCGTGCGGACGGTAGACGGCGGCGGCGACGGGTGTGGAAAGACGGGCGTTCGCGAAGGCGCCGCGCGCGCCGCGGGGGCGCCACCTCTCTGGACCGACGTCGTCGAGCGTCGCGAGGAATCAATAGGAGTGTGCGTACGCGGGCGTGGTGAACCGCAGATTCGGCTCTACACCATCAAAAATTAACAAGACTCCCTCAAGATGAGGACGGCTTACTACTACACGGCATATGCACACATCCTGCTGCAATCCACCTCTTCCTCGCTCCTCTCGGAGACATCAAACCCAAAACCGATTGATTGTGATTGCATTACAGACCGATAGCTTCTGCGATTAAATCTAAATCGATTGCGCAACATGCCGCCCACCCTCTTCAAGATAAAGACGTAACGACCAAATCGTTTCTCGCAATATGTGCTCAGCGATAATCAGTTATTCTTTTTTATGTTCTCAAATTCAATCTTCTCATGAAAACAGTATTACATGAACACAAAAGAAGCATTAACGAGATTAAACATTAAAATTCCGTAAATGTATAATAAAACATAACAATTTTAATTTAATATCTATCTAGTAATTAATTACTTGAAATTGTTTAAACACTCATTAAAAATATATCTAATTCTATTGAAAGGTAAAAACGCAATGACCATTAATATTTCTTGCACTTATTCTTTCCATAAAGTTCAACATTATTCAGATGAAAGATTAAAAATAAATAAATCAGAAAATAAAAGTAATTAATATTATATTAACAACTATCAACGATTAAGTAATTTAAAAAATTTAGACTAATATCACAATACAATGAATATATAATTCAATTACGTATAATGAATAATAATGTAGTTTAATCGTTTACATTAATAAGTAAACGGTGACAATTTTCCTCAAATCTGTGAAAAAAACGAAGTTCCTATAATATAATTTAATATAATAAACCGATCATCATTAATTTAAGTCTAAAACGACTATAATAAAAGTGAGTTAAATCAATTGCGAAACATGACGCCTACCCTCTTCAAAATAAAGATGTAACAATCAACTAACCGCAGTTACACAAATACAAATCTAACACTCGTATTTCTGTTTGAATAATCATTAATATATTTTTTGCACAGACTTCTATAATAATCTAATGATTTACTAATTAACATCAATATCTCAAATAATTAATATTTTTACCATCATAAGAATATACAAAATTTTATGAAACAGTTTTAACAATGTGTGCAAGTTTTTTTAATATTTTTTTTTTAAATAATATCATCATGATAATAGAATATAACGATATATCGGATTATTCATTTTTAACTAATTTATACAAGTATAAGTGAAACGCACATTCTGAAATAATTGATCAATTCGAGGTGTAAATTAATTTAAATTATGTATGAATATTAGTAATTTTATAAAATTTACAAATATTCTTTAATACTCTGAGTAGTTAAATAATATTTTAAAAATGAATAGATTTTCAAAAACACGTCTTGAATGTAGAACAAACTGAGAGATACATAATAGGCGTGGCTCTTAAGCGAGAGAAGAGATTTTGGAATGTAACAGCCACCAGGTGAGAGCAATTTACATAGTGGGCATTGGTATTTTTGTGGGAAATTAGTGTATGTTGATATGGGTTGTACACAGTTGTAATATATAATGTTGTGATGCTGTTCATGTGTCTGACAGATAAAGCGGGGTGTCACTTCCGGCGCGAGATAGATGTTGGCACCCCGCATGCCGCCACCGCGCCCCGGTTGCACAACCTCCTCTTCCTCCTCAGCCACTCATCCTCATTCTACGTCTAGGCCAAGCCATCACCGCCAGTCATCCCGTTTTGTTCGCCATTGCGTTTTCCACCATCTCCGAGCCGCCTATTAAAATGTACAGGACGGGTCCCGCTCAAACATCCGTTTTTAAGCGATAATGAAACGCAATTTATATGCTAATCCTCCAAAAACACTCCAGATTTCCATCCGCAAACAAAATTAAATAGTATTAATAAGAAAAATAATCATTATTACAAAAAAATTAAAAGAAATCGGTGAAAAATTCACATAATTTAATAACAAAGTCAACAAGCGATGCTGCTTCGTTTCTTTCAACAATTTGCCAAAAAAAACTAAATTTAAACCAGACAATTTAACGTACTAAATAAAAGCGATGACCAAGTAGTGTATTATAGAAACTAGTATTTATGAATCAACTCGCCTGAATAGAACGAAAATCGAGAGTCAACGACGGGCCGAATCATTTTGGTAATACCGAAATCCTCGAGTGGTAATTGACTCGTTAGGCTTTTCTAATTGAGCGTTTAGTGTACGTCTACCGTCCACCTATCTCTCTGTATCACCATCTCTCGTTACGTAAACCAATAATTATCGAACGGTCCCGAACCGCACGTGATGCAATGAACTATCCGAGGTATTTGGTCTATGCGCTACGGGGTCCACCGTCCGTTAACGTTAGTTAATCTAGCGTTAGCCAATAATTTTAATATCCCAGGTGCATTCTTAGCTACCTCTTCCATGGGTCAATGGACGTCATGGCTTCCAAAGCGCATCTTGTGTACATCCGCACAAATGGCCATTGATGTTAGCAGAGAGAACCGAGAGATGCAGCGCCAATTTCGAAAATCTAAATTTATCTAGAAAAAATCTATCTATTGTTGGAATGCAACAGCACTGTCCTGTCCCCCGTCACGTTTATTAACTTTGATTAAAGCAATTATTTTCGCTATTATTTTATAACGGTCCCAGTTTCATTTACTTGTTTCTTACACGTACTAATTGCACTATTATGTATGTTTGCATTGCATGGTTCCAACGTATAAATACGCGATCTTATTTAATTGGCGATTAGTAATACTTCTATGACCCTCGCCAATTATTGCTAATTACCATTTATCATACTAAGTACGTTGTCTATACAAATCTATCAGATGAAGGCACCGATTTAAAGTGACAATCAGATAATGACAGCATAATCAAATTTAATTTAAACAAAGTATACAGTGTATTAATAGCTGTCAATAAGGAATATTCAATTTACGAATTGAGAATGTAATAAATCACCATTACAGTTATACCAGCTTTGTACAAGAATCATATTTTTTTAAATCATTATCATACTAAAAACATTAGTTCACACTCATAATCAAATTTAGCACACATATTTAATGTTAAAATTGCACTAGTTAAAAGTTCTAGTTTCAAATATATTTAATTATATAAATCATTACGTTTTAAAATTTTGAATATTCGTATGTTAACATTAAAATAATATTTTTAAAGGGTAATAAAAGACAAACAAACGGTGATTTCAGAACAATAAATAATATTGGTTAAACACCAACTTCGATTTTACATCATTCATATTCCATATATAAAACTAGATTATAGCAAATATAAAACGAATAAATGTAATAAACGCAACGGTTCCATTATACACGTATCAAAATAATTAATCCTGCCATAATCCACATAATCTCGATATATAATTACTAATAGCTAAAAATATATGTTCAATTTATTTGCACATTGTTTACCCACCTGTCAATCTTTGTTGACATAATCTAAGACTAATGAAAATTATGTAACTAAAGTTCAAAGAAACATTACATTAATAACTAATATAATTTTCTGAACTAAAATTGCGAACCATCATATTTATTTATCTTCGATCAATCAAATATAGATTATTTCGTTCAGAGTTGTAAGAATGTTAACGAAATATTAATTGCGGTAATTAACAAATAATCTGGTAATCAATAACTTCGTCCCTTATGATATTACTGTAATCTGTAAACGGGAGAATTTAAGCTGCTTAACGATAAATCAACCGCCATGACACGTTTAATTTTGATAAAAGCATTATGAAAATAAAAACATTATACTTTGCTCGAACTGAAAATGTAATAGATATAAATTGTTTTTAAAAGTCTTCGCAAATTGTTCCATTAATTTATCAGGCGGTCGTTAAAAAAAAGTCGCGGATCATCCTCGCAATAAGTGCTTTAATACCTGCATCAAGAACTGAAGGAAGTTATAAAGAGATTATCGCTTAGGCTTTATATGGAAAATAGGAAACACTTTGTAACATGATTATTTTACACTGTAAACTGTGGTTTAAATGTAGCAAAATACAAACTTTAAATTACTCATACTGATGAAAAGCATTGAGATTTAATAGATCAAAACTTCATTAAGTCTAAAGCTTTATATGGAAAATAGGAAACACCTTGTAATATGATTTCTCAACACTATTAATGTATTAAAATTTCTATTGAATTTAAATGAATCATTGCAAAAAAAAAATAATATGCACTCAAATTAAAAAAAACTTGACTCACATTTATATTTGAGTATAATAATCAAATTAAAAACGGTAACGGAAACGTTCTATATAACGTGCACTTATTACAAATACAAAAGAAACAAACTATTATTTTGGTTTAGACTTGAATCATAGCTGACTCAAAATATCGTGATTTATTCTGTTAGTGATTCATAAAAAGCTAAATTATATTTTTTTAAACAATGTGGTAACATTGTTACACAAATATTACAGCTTCAAAACGTTAAGTTTAGTAAATTGCGAAGCTTGTCTTGAGTAAATCCGAAAATGAGGAAATAATTACTAAATTTTTGTAAATTAAACTTGTGTTTTATATTTATAATCACGACTTTAGTTGCTTTACGACCAAATATTTTAGTGAGATGCACTAAATAACGTATTTAAATGTATGGTTTCATGTTAATTAAGTAACAAAAATCCATTGTTTTCACGTTTAATAGAATGTTAAAACACAACAAAGAAATAAACATTTCATATCTCGTTTTCCTCAACGATAACGTAAAAATAATAGGTGAAATGTTTAATTGCAATTCTTGTAAACGTTCAAAAACAAGCTGTGTTTAATAATAAACACTCACACAAACACACACATGCACTTCCCTTTGCATTTATATAAGAAAACATCAACTCAGTATTATGACTTTGTTGTTGCGAACGTTCACATTTTTCTCTCCGGTCTCACCAGTTATTGTGACCTGGCGTTTCCATCAAATCCACCACATAAGATCATTACTATATTTTATATGTGCATGCACGGTTTTATGGTTATCGCGATATTCTTCATTTACCTGGCGCACTCCAAAGTTCAGTTGAAAGCGGATTTCCAACTGCGATTTCGAACGCGAAAACAATGAATCCTGAAGCCTTTCTTTCGCACACACACAATATAATATAGAAACATACACACACATATCGTACGTGCAGCATTTTATATTTGCAAAAATTAAATACGCCCACGCTTCCGGCTGCATAACTATTAAATAACAAACGCATTGCAGAAACGTAA